GTGGAGAGGTTCACTGTTGTAGTCAATAGTTTAAGCCTTCTGATCACCACTTAACTTGGCCATAAATAGTAGAGCAGTGGAAATTAGAAAAATGCTAATTACACCTTAAATGAACAAGACAGAAGAGAAAGGGTTTCAAGATGTCATTAGCAGAGACGAAATTCACCATTGGCGGACGGCTCGGTGCCAGGTCGTGTGAAACGGTGTGACGGTTGAGCCTGTCCTCCACTGCCAGGAACTACCTCTCCTCGCAGACGTAGATGTTCAAGACGAGCACAAGCCTCTGTAAAAGATGCCGTAGCCTGGCTCGATGGAGCTGCTGAACTCGAGGACGCCGATGTCGACGATGAACTAATCGGTGGCTGAGTTGCATCCGTTGCTGTTGAGCAGGAAGATGAGACGTTTCCTGGAGTGGCGGCAGCACCTGCTGAGCAGGAGGAAGAAGAAGAGGAGAGTGTGGAGCCCGTGCCCAGGCCGCGTCTGGCCATAGAATTTGACTGTGCTACCCCGGTAATTTCTCCATTGGTTGCTGGCTGCTGATTATGCTGTTGAGATGGCAGATGATTGGGCTGTTGTTGGTGGTGTTGAACTCCAGCTAGGCCAGGTACGGGATGGGGAAAGTGGTGTGGCTGCTGCCCCGAATCCGTTAACTTTCCAGTTGTGGATAGGTCTGAGAGTAAGGGACCCGAGAAGCCAGGTGGTGTTGGTTGCTGATGTTGGTTTTGTTGACTCTTAGTAGATTGGTGCAATTGGCAAATGTGGGCATGATGACTGATTTGATTTTCGTGAGAGTGCTGCTGCTGCTGTGGATGCGGATGCTGATGAGAATGAAGGTGAACATGTGTGTGTGGATGTGAATTCAAGTGAGTATGTTGATGTTGGTGGTGGTGAGAGTGTGTCTGAGCAGAAGCGGGTAATGATGATAGGGTCGCATTCTGGTAGATTCCAGTGCCAGTCCCAGGCAGCCCGGGCAACGGGGGGTATGAGCCATGCCGACGTCGACCCAACAGAAGATAAGTGGCTGTTAGGTTATTGAAACGCTGTTGTGTCAGTGAATCATGTATGTCCTGTCGATTGAAGCCCATCCGCAACATCAAATCTGTAAGGAGAACAGAGCTAATGATGAGAAACAAATCATTGATGCTGGGTATCTACAGCCCTACATGTTTAAATAGAACCATGAATACCGCCGTGAAAAGAAAACCGGTGGTTTCGTGAAGTATACATCTAAGTGAAGATATGAAGACCATGATGGTGTGGCCCTAGGTAGGGTCGCCGTCTCCTTCAAATGTATAGAAGTGAGTTGGCCTCGTTTTCGCAACTTGATTTTGTTGTTAGGGCGATTTATTCGAACGCACCTTGCCCGAAATATACTACCATACTAATTATCATAATTCCCAGCATCAGACCGTGGATTTGGTACATTCTCAGAAGTTTCGCCGGCATCATAGGTAAATTTTGACACTTATCTCTTTGACAATTTGTAACTTGGTGCAGAGAATGACAAGAAAAACTGATGATGCCGACTACGATGCCGGCGAAAATTCTGAGAATGTACCAAGTCCACGGTCTGATGCTGGGATTTGTGATAAATACTATGGCAGAGGACTCCGGACAAGGTGCGTTCAACCAAGTTGTCCTGAAAGAAAGACCAAGTTGTGAAAACGAGATCAAGCCACTTCTATGCATCTGAATGATTCGAAATTTGAAACGCGACATAATTGTAAAGGCAACTCGCGCCGTACATATATGCGCATTCGATTACAAGATATGCTCCACTAAAACAAACCAAATTTGATTTATGCCATGGGTTAAAGTGTGATTTTAAATCAGCTACTGGCAAGGTTACCTGACGACTATGCCAGTAATTAACTTTCCGCTACCAGGTGGCCAGTAAGTGTCGACATAAGCTTGCATTGAATGCGAAAGTATCTAGACAAAAAAATTTCGGTTTTCATAACTTAGTCGTATTTTCCAAAAAGACTTCAAAGAGTATATCTCGAACTGCATCCTGTGGAATTCATTTCATGTTTTACTTCCAGGATCGGAGAGGCAATTGGGCAAATCAGCAGACGGTTTAACAGTATCATGGCCAACAGTATAAGAAGTCAGAGTCATGTATAGCATTGAACCACAAATTATGAAGTCAACAAGATTTCTAATCTAACGATTCAACTGCAAACTTGGAAAATCTAGTAGCTTTTATCAGGTGTAGTTTAGTGAGATGGTCCAATAACTCAGCTTACTATGATTAAAGCATTTGAGAATGTGTTTAACGATATGATGCTGAAGGGGGGCATGATAACAATAAGAGAGTATGAGACGAATTAACTTACCCTTAAACACGTTGAAATTGTTAAAACTCTCTCAACTATCAATCTTTAGATAATCTAAGTCTTGTAGGTAAATCTCAGAAAACCGAGATTCATCTAGTAAAACGCACCAAGCATAGAGAGATACATTTTCAATGTCCGAATTTGAAAGTGAATAAACAAAAAGAATGATAAAATGTAATGACTCAAGGCTTAGTTTCAGCGTGTGTAGAGTCAATATGCTCGCACATCTCAGAAAATATGGCAATCGACATAGGATGAATCTTAAAGGCAGTCAGGACTAGCGGACTTTAATGCATCTTGTGATATGAATTAATTCTTACATTTGCTTAAAAATGATTGCAATGACCAGTCTATCACTCTTGCATAGTTATGTAGCTTAATTTTTGTACTATTGATCTCATCTTCTTTTTCATTTATTTTAGCTTTTTCCATACTGCTGCTGACGGCTTCGAAGGTAGTGTGCTTTCCTCAACTGGAGAGAGCTTGCGCGTCAAAATGGGATTTAAACCTATCCATACGGAGTTAGTATGTGAACTAAGTATCATCTACAGCCTGCTGATAGACAGGATTGCCGAAGACATGCTAAGCAAAGGATTATTCATGAATGTGTATAAATCTAAACTCATACAATTTAGATAA